CATTAATGTCCTTGGCACAAAGGCTGCATCTAACACTAGGAACTAAGGGTGCGATTCCCAGCTCACAGAGCTCTCATTGAGCTAGCGTGAGTATTCTATGTGAGCTGGGAATCAGACCCCTGGCTCCAAGAGTAGATGTAACCTGACTGTGCACGTACAAGCCTGAAAGGAAGATGTAGGTGTCTCATGACAGGGCCTGATGCTTCTGAAAGATATCTGACTCGTGGTGTTAGTGCTTGTTGAGTTTTTCATAATATGTGTGAGAGCAAGGTCAAGAGACTCTCCGATAGGTTGTAGGGAGAGTGGAGTGACTTTTGGTTTGTTATGAACAGGGAGAGAGCTTCCTCTAATCAATAGTCATCTTCATCACCAGGGGACCCAGAATCACAGATGCCTTGCCTTGTGCACATTTTGAAAGCAGAGCACAGGGCAGTTAAATGTGGAACTATTAACAGCATGCATTTGCAATTAGAGCTCAGTGCAAGTACATGGATCCTGAGGCCGTTGCCACAGGTATGCCCTGCGTATGGTCTCATGCTGAGGTCTTGGACTTCCCTCTCTCTGGGCAGAGGAGCATGTCCAATCTCATCTCTGTAGTAGTCACCAGGATGCCAAAAGTTACCAGCAGCTAGCGCAGCAAATGGGAGAGAAGGATACTGCTGGGTTGAGTTCCAGAGACATGAATATGACAAAGCCAAAGAGTGGCAGCAGAAGTATAAAAGTACCAAGAAGAACGAGGGCTCTGGTGATATGTCAAGTGCATGTCCATACAATGAGGAGCTGAGCAAGATTTTTGCCTAAGAATAAGAGCCTGAACAGGAGGAGCACATACTTGGCAGATATGTGCTTTCTGGGGAGCTGAGCTGTGCACTACACCAGGCCACCGCTTCCCGCAGCTCCCATTGGCCGGGAATGGCAAAACACTGACATTGGGAGCTGTGAGTGGCCGTACGTGCGGACGCTCAGGCAAACAAAGCATCTCGCGGCCCGCCAGGGGCTTACCCTGAATGAGTCACATCCCAAGGTTGAGAACCCCTGCACTACACAACCATGCACATTCATTGCATGCATCTCAACTTGTTTGTTCCCCTGGAAGTACTGAAAGTACCCAAGGTCCATTGCCAAGGGGTTGTGGGTGAAAATGGGATGCTTTGAAGCATTGAGATCTGAGTGATTTTTTGTTGTTGTTGTTGTTGTTGAAAACCATAGTCTATGGAAACAGTCAATAGTAGTGCAAATAATAATAATTGTGTCTTTATCTTCCATTTCAGGGATATGACTCCCATTATTTTAGAGACAAGTATGCTGGCTTTGGTTGGACCCAACTGTGAATGCCAGTTCAGGACAAATTGCTTATAGCAGGGCAGTTACAGCCCAAGGCTGGGGTTCCTTTGCACACCAAGGCAAACCAAACCAGCCAAACAGAGAAGACTTCGGTTTTACCCCACTGGCTAACCACAAATCACACAAGCAATTCCCTTAAACACTCCAGTTTCCCAGTATCATCACCACTGCCACTCATTATGGGGATGAATGGTTATGAAAACCAATACCCCAGTAAAAGAAAAAAGGTTCTCCCGATCCCAAAGGACCAAGCCCCAGACCCAGGTCAATATACAAATCAGATCTTACCCACAAATCACGCTATTGCCAATCCTTTAGAATCTAAAAGTTTATTCATACGGTTACAGGTCATATTAATAACACACAAGCAAAGAACAATAGGTAATTTCAGTTGCAATTGTTCCGTCTCTGAACAGAAATTACACCTTTAACAGTGAGTCCACGTCTGGGAGAGGAGGCACACTTTTTAAAGTGAAAACAAAATAGATTATTTCCCCTAATTAATAGTGAATTTTGTCCCAGTGTCCTATATATTTCCAGAAAAAAAAGTTGAGAATACATATCTGTAATTTATGGTAAATTACATAACAGGGAGGGTGAAATTATCCCCCAATCAAACTTTATTAAACCCAGGACCTTCAGAGTTGAGGTTAAACTTAACATGTTTGAATTTATTTTAAGACATAGAAATGCATAGTTAGGGGACCCAGGCAACAACAACTGTCCCCTGTAGTGACACCATGCAATAACCAAATACTTATGACCTAAAGCACTTGTAATCACAGTGTTTTGGGCTTCACAGTTTAGGGAGTGCAATCCAGACCAGTGAGGGGTTGTGTCATCTCACAATGCCTTGTTGCTGTAGCTCCAGACCTGGGCTGCTCACAGCCAGCCAACATGAGCATGCAGGTCACACGCTGAGTGCCTGTGTATAGGACAGCCTTGGTCCAGCAGACCCTGACCCCAGCAGCCTGCCAGCACCACGCCAGCCACTCTGGCTTCCACGAGCCTTAGTTATAACCAGCAGGATGACTCCAATGTACTCCAAGTCCTGAATTTCCCCAAAACTGTGTGCCTATAATGTCCATCCCTCTCCTGGACAGTTCAGAGAAATAATAAGGTTCCTTTGTTCCATTAAGGAGACAAAACACACCAACTTGCCAAATGAACTGGAGATGACATTCACTTTAGTACACTCACAACACTGTTGGTTTAGATTAATAGTAAAACAAGTTTATAAACAAACACAGATAGGATTTCAAGTGAGTTCAAGTATAAGGAAAAAACTTAGAAAGTTAGAAGTAAAACAAAACAAAATACATTTCTAAAAGTCTAAAACTTAATCTAGCAAGGTACAATTTTTGCCTAAGTAGCTTTCTCACCTATATTCAGTTTCCAGAAACATCAACCCCCCCCACTCCCCCAGGTTGAAGGACCATCCTTTTCAGTGTCAGACAACTGGGATAAGGGCGGTCTAGCCTAGTGGCCAGGGTCAGAGCCATAGTCAGTGGTCAGAAGCCAAAGCCCCCGGTAAAACTCAGAGACAGAAATTGGGTACCAGAATGAAGGGTCAAGCTAGAGTCCATAGAGAGGAGCGAAAGCCAAAGGTCAAAACCAGAAGTCAGGAATTGGAGCAGGAAGGGTATCAGGCAAGGATGGGTTCAAGGCAAAGGGCAGAACAGAGGCAAGTTGGGGGGCAAAGCAGGAGCAGGCACAGTGGTGGGCATGATCATTGAGCAGCGAGCAAGCTGCTGCTATTGCTGCTGCCTTAAAAGCTAGGCTGCTGGCCTCTGCAGCCAATCAGGTTGCGTGGTTAATCAGGCAGCCTGCTGCAGGCCAGCTGTGGGGATGGGGCTGCCCAGAGACTAGCTCTGCTGCAGGCCCTGATTCCTGACACTACCGCCCCTTTGAGGGCACTGTCTAGGGGCCACAGGACCTGGCTTCTCAGGGTCAGTGTTGTGGAAGACATGCAGGAGGATCAGGGCATGGATGTGGTCTGTGGGATCCCATGAACACTCATCTGGGCCATGCCCATCCCAGTCAACCAGACAGTGTAATTTTCCCTGGACTCGACAAGAATCTAGAATCTGCCAAACCATGTTTTCTTCTTGGCCCTGAACTGTTACAGGTGGAGGAATGGGAGCTTGTAGTGGTTTTCTATAGTCACCTTGTCTGGGGCCCGATAGTCAATAAATGGACACAAGCAGCCATGTTTCTTCTTGACTAAAAAAGATTGGAGCACCTGCTGGGGATGTGAATCGGCAGATGAAACCCTTCTGAAGGTTCTCCCACAAATACAGGTGGAGAGCCCAACGTTTGGGTTTGGAGAGGGCAGACATCCAATCGAATAGGGTCTCGGCTTCTGGCTGGAGATTAATTGGGGAATTGTGAATGTGATGTGGGGACAGTATGTCCACATTCGCCTCGTCAAAAACATTAGTCAAGTCACGGTATCTGTGGGAGATCTTGGTCACAGCAGGTGGGGCCATGCAGGGCACTGATGGTCTTGATGGTTCTCCTGCCTGCAGGTCGGGATCTTCCAGTGGATGACATGAATGACAGACTGCAACGGTGTGTTTCTAGGATCCTGGGAGACAGGATAGCCAACAATGCCTGGAAATAAAATATAGGGTCCTCTTCTGCCAGTGAATGTGAGGGTCATGGGTGGTAAGCCAGGGCATACCTAGGATAATGGGAACATGAGGGGCCCACATTAATCCAAATTGTAGGGTTTCCTGATGCCCCCAGAGGGTGATAACTGTTACTGGCATGACATGGCAGGTTACAGGTCCTGAGGAGAAGAGAGACCCATCAATATTTCACTAGG